ACATCTGCTGCCCAGGTTAAGTGAGTTTTCTGACCTGAATCTTTGATTTAACAAACATCACAGACAAAGGAGATTGTTGGTCACATCTGTGCACGTGTCTTCATTCTCATCAGTGCGTACGTAATTATCCTGCAGCCCGCGTGCCTGACATCAGACCCACTGTAGTGTAAATCACTGTAGGTGAATTATTTGGCTCATTGACTCTTATTGGGAATCATCTAATGGGCTGTATCCTTCCTCTGCATTATTGAATCCCTTTCTTCCTCTTCTTTTCTTTCCACGACTTCAGCCGCCACCCTTGAGTTCATATCTCTTTTGCAGAGAAGGCATTAATCCCTCTTCCTTATTCTTCTTGCTCTGTTGCACCCGTTCATACATTTTCCTCCTCTTTATGTCAGTGCACAGCTTTCTGTCTCCCACCCTGAAGGGGTCTCTCTTTGCTCATCTCGATGGGAAATGAATGAACAAAAGATGGTGCATTTTTCATGACTCTGTAATGTTTTATACAGTATTTACTATTATGTAAGTTCTACAAGTGTCTTTGGAACATATTATATATGTTTGTGCTGTAAGAGTTCATTGTTTGGCACAAGATGTGGAATTATTTTAGCTAACAAGCATCTCCCTGTGTGTCAGGACCAGTCTGGTCTGGTATCCTGACAAGTCTGTTTATCAAGTCACCGCCCAGGGTGTGACTCTGTGTGACTCTGTCATATTGGCTGTGCTATGAAATAAAAATACCAAAAATATTAAAGTCCTAAAGGTGAAAATCACTGCCAGTTTAGTCGAGTTTAAACCGCCTACAGACTTTTCTAATCTCTTGACTTTACTGGGTCTGTGACAGTCGGCCGCTGCTTCATCACTTGTGAAAAAGCCTCCAGTCTCCCTTGAAAGGTGAATTGATCCGGATTAGAATTTGGATTACATTGTGCCTGCTAGTGCAAATAAGGAGGATGTTTCCATTTGACTGAGTGTCAGGGTGAAACTTGACTGCATTCATTTTATATATAAATCTATATAGATATATATATCTATATATTTTAACGTAATCCTCTGTTTTACTGCTGCTTCTTCATCTTCCTTTGTTTCGGATCTCTGCACCTCTGTGAGGTAGATGCCGTTGTATGGTCATCATTGATTCCGGCTTATCCCTGCCTCTGTACAGGATTATCTCTGTCAACACTGAGCACACCATGTTTACCAGAGACAGCGGAATTCATCTGAAGGCCCAGCTGGAATAATAGGAATGAGAAAGGCAGCCTGCAGTAATCTGGACTAATCTGACCAAGCAGAGTCCTACCGAGGAGGA